GGGGCCAGGGTGCTGCGTTGGCGTTTTACATTCTCTCCGCTCTCTTCTTCAATAGCTTTGTCATCATCTTTGTAGTGACTGTTCTTCTTGCTGCCCTTGACTTCTGGGTTGTTAAGAATGTGAGTGGGCGTATACTGGTTGGTTTGAGGTGGTGGAACGAGATCAATGACTTGGGAGAAAGTGTGTGGAAGTTCGAGTCTCTTGACCAGGAGGTTAGCCGTTGTTATTGCTGAATGGGGTCTACTTATTCAAATGACTATGGAGTCAGTCTGTCTAGAAATGCGGTTTTGTGTTTCCCTTTCCGTTTCCTGAATACTCATGTGTTTTGTTTTTTTGTCTATATCAGTCTCTAGCTCGGATGAACAAGAAGGACTCATGGCTTTTCTGGTGGACGCTTTACCTTGCAGTAAGTAGTTCTTATCTAAGATACAGTTGCATTGTATGGTTCTTACTTAAAATGCTTCTCCTTTTGTGTGGGATAGCAGCATTTGACATTGGAGTCGAATCACATGCAAAGACACATTGCAAAATAGGCAGGTTACGAAAAGTAGTCTGCTGGTCCAAAGTCAGCTATTGTTATTGTGGATGTTAAAAATGCAGTAGTATACATCCTATGATCCTACATTAGCTAGTATGAGATTTGTTAATACTTGGTAGCTTATACACCCATAGGCTCAGTTACCTTACAAACTACGTATAAAGAATGAGATGTAGCCATGAGATGGTAGCAATGGGCTCGGTGTCTATTAGTGTACACAAGCTTAGTAAACTTTACATACCTGTAAACTTATTTTCCTGTCTTTTCCGGGTTGCTTCACAGGCACAGCTAAATCTTTTTTTTCTTAAATTTCCACCTCTTCAGGCAGCTGCGTGGTTTATCCTTGGGATATTTTCTCTGATAAGGTTTCAGGCTGATTATCTGCTTGTTGTTGGTGTTTGCTTGTCCCTCAACGTGGCTAATATCATCGGTTTCACCAAGTGCAAGAAAGGTAAGATCACTGATTAGTTTTCCACTACTGCCCTAATTTTGTTAAAGAATCAAATCAGCTAAAGATCATTAGGTTCTTAGATTTATGTACAAAGACCATACTCATGTACATGTAGAGATGCAACTCTAATAGGTATTTCACCATTTTCTTGGCAGATGCAAAGAAACAATTTCAACAGTTTGCATCACAGACAATTGCATCACGGTTCCAATCTACGGTACAATCTGCCTTCACACTTGTCTAAAAGGAAGAAAGTTGATATAAGGTTTAGTGAGAGCAAAAGACAGTGTACAAAAGAATATTGCCAAAACGACACCGGTGTTTTTTCGACTGATTGGTTTCCAAATATTTTGTAAGGGTTTAAGAGGTCCTATATTCGTCTTTGTATGCATTTTACATTTTCGACTTTTTTACCTATTAACATTTTGAATCTCATATGGTATTATGCGTATATTTCATCCAAAATAAATTTCAGAAAGTTTACAGTCGTCCAAAATAAATTTCAGAAAGTTTACACCATCTTCTCAGTATGCAGGGATAAATCTGTGACCATGTACTAAATTTGTGGCTATAAGCTCTTAGCTGTTCTCAATCCGTGGCCGAAGCCATGGCCAACTGATTAGAGACAACTCCGTGGTTATGGCTCATGACTTAGCTCACTTTGTGGCCAGCTATAGTCACGGAATAGCCACAAGCCGACGACAGTATTTCCATGGCCAAAGTAGCTACAAATTTTATTATGGTCACCTACTAGCCACCGGTTATGTCATTGGCTAAACAATGTGGTTAAAATGAAATTGGGCTACAACCTCATTTTAAAGCCCATTATCATCATAAATCTTTTTACATGAGAGTAATTTGTTGTGGCGTAAAAAGCTTAGAAGATTTTGATTTGGTAAATTGCCGTATCTGTGCAAAGCTTTAAATTGATTTGATTGCCGGAAAATCAAACCTTCAAAAACCCTAAAGATCCAATTTTTCTTTGATCTTCTTCCTAACTGTGTACATCTCCATCCATTCTTCCCGCCAATTTCCTTTTCTCGCGATTCGTCCTTGACACTCTCAGGCCATGTCCTTGCGTCCTCGTCAATCTCATGGGTTTTCGTCTCCGGCGAAGCAGAGGAAGAAAGCTCCCAAGAATTCCATGACTCCGAGAACGATGATCCGTAATCGTCTACCTTCTTACCTAAAACCTGGCGCCGCCGTGGAAATCAGCTCCGACGAGCCTGGGTTTCGCGGCTCTTGGTACCCCGGAACGGTGATCACAATCCCATCCTCAGATAAGGATTCCGTCAGATGTCAGGTGGAGTACACGACGCTTTTCTTCGACAAAGACGGGAAGAAACGGCTGAAGGAAGCTGTCGACATGATTCAGCTTCGTCCTCCGGCGCCGCCGATGTCTGAGAGGGAGAAAAAGAAGGATATCGCGGTGGGGGAAGAGGTCGATGCTTTTTACAACGATGGTTGGTGGGAAGGGACTGTGACGGAGGTTCTCGGTGATGGGAAATTCAGTGTTTTCTTCAAGAGTTCGAGGGAGCAGATTCGGTTTCGCAAAGACGAGCTACGGTTTCATAGGGAATGGCTAAATGGCGCTTGGAAGCCGCCACTAA